TACCCAATCATCTCTGATGCATTGTTTGCAATGTAAACATTAAAATGTTGTAAGGCTATTACCAAACCCAATAACGCTTTTACAACAGTTGAATATTTTTCTGGTGGATATTGAGTCTTTTTGAAAAATAACAGATTAGCCTTTCAATTCCACAATCATCCTCCTGTAACAACACAGCTCCAGCCCCTACATCACTTGCATTAATGGTGACTTTGAAGGGTTTCAAAAAAATTTGATGTGGTTAAAACTGGTGCAGTGGTTAATACAGCTTTTAAATTCTCAAATGCCTCCTGGCATTGTTCTGTCCACCGAAATTTTGTTTGTTTTAAACAAATATGTCAATGGTGCCACTACGCTACTGCCTGTTTCCACACTGTAGGGGTTCTATGATTCAATGATAAATTTTGGTACAAATTTCCTGTAGAATCTGCTCAATCCTAAAAATCGTAGCACTTCATTCTTTGAGGATCGTCTTGGAAATTCCTTAATGGCCTTCGTCTTTGTGTTCCTCTGTGTCATCCAACTCTATCCAACGATGTGCCCTAAGAATGTCACTTCTGCCTTCGCAAATTCTGTTTTTGCCAAGTTTGTGACCAACTTTGCCTTTCATAGTCTCTCAAAGAGCTCTGGCAAATGCGCCATGAGATCTGTCCACAAATGGCTGAAGAACACTAAGTCACCTCCGTAGATGGCACAATTAGTCAGCCTGGAAACAACTCTGTTCATAAGCTGTTGAAAAGTGGCTGGTGTGTTTTTCATTCCAAAGGGCATTACTTTAAACTGATACAGCCCATTTGGGGTTACAAAAGCAGAAACTTCTCTGACAAAGGTACTTGCCAGTAAAAGCGAAGTAAGTCCAACTTTGTGTAAGTCCAACAATCAACATCCTGGGGGCGTACATTGACCAGAAACTCAACTTGACTTACCATATAAATACAATGACTACAAGAGCAGGTCAGAGGCTAGGAATACTGCAAGGAATGTCACCTCCTGACTCTATCTACAAGGTATAAGTCAGGGGTGTAATGGAGTATGCCCCATTTGCCTGGATGTGAGCAGCTCAAGAAGCTTGGCACCTTCCAGGACAAAGCAGCCCGTTTGATTGGCATCATATCCATAGCATCCATTCTCTCCACCACCTACACACATGTACTGCAGAAATCCACCAAATATCCTTGGACAGCACTTTGCAAACGCAGGACTGTTTGCATCTAGAAGAACAAGGGCACCAGATATATAGGACCACCACCACCTGCAAGTTCCCCTCCAAACCACTCACCAACGTGACTTAGAAATGTATTGCTGTTCCTTCACTGTTGCTGGGTCCAAATCTGGAATTCTCTCCCTGAGGGTCAACCCGCATCACATGGACTGCAGTGTTCAAGAAGGCAGCTCACCACCACCTTCCTCAAGGGCAACTAGGGTTGGGTAACAAATGCTGACCCAGCCAGCGTGCCCAAATTTCAAAAGTGAATAAAATAAAATTTCTAGGTCAAGATGATGAGCGGCTTGGAGAGGAAATTGAAGCGTGTATTGTTCCCATGTATCTGCTGACCTTGTCCTAGTAGTAATCATGGGCTTGAAAGTTGCTGTCTAAGAAGCTTTGGTGAATTCCTACAGTGAGCCTTGCTGTTAGTACACACTGTGCATTGCAGCAGGAGTTAGACAAGCTTTCTCGGTCCAACCAATTCAGTTTCTTCATCAGTGACCCACCCTCCATTAGTCAGTGGTATGAGGCCACTTGTTAACCATTCAGCTTCACTGATAACTTCTCTAACAATGAAACAGCTCTTTAAGTCTACACCAGAATCTTGACATCATTCAGGCTTGAGCCGACACGTGACTGATAATAATGGCTCTACATAAATGCCAGGTAAATGGAGCAAGAGAAAACCCTCCTCATATGGCAATGACCTTGTAATGTTCTCCACCTCAAGAGGACCACACCATGGCATAAGATTAATATGTCAACACCAGCACCAAAGGTCACATATGCAATCTGTGTCAAACCTTTGTGTAGAGTATGTGGACTGGTAATTTTAACTGATACATAAAACAAGTTTCCTCAAGTTTTCAGGTATCTATTTGGGCTTTCTACAATGCTTCTGTCTTTGTGACAGTTTTCTTGCTGGTTACTTGTGAAGTGCATGCTTCTTAGTCTGCTCTGTATCAGTGGTGTAATAATCTGTTTTTTCACAAAATCTCTATCCCCAATTGCAGTGAGAATCACAAAATGGTTATAGCACAGAAGGAGGTCATTTTTCCTCATGTCACTTAGAATTCTTTTGCCTATCATTTAAAGTAAGTGTCCTCTGCTCCTCAAAACAGGAACAGTTTCTCACCATCTACTTTACCAAGCTCCTCATGACTTGAAGACCTTGGTCTCATCTCCTTTCACCCTTTACTCCTTTCACAAAGACAGCCCCAGCTTCACTAATCCATGTTTTTAACTGAAGTTCCTCAGCCCTGGAACCAGTCTCATAAATCTTTTCTGCACTTTATCCAATGCTTTCACTTTCTTACCTGAAGTGCCAAGTCCAAATTTGGACATAGTATCCCAGTTGAGACTAAAACCAATGATTTACAAAGGTTCACCATTACTTGGACTTGTGGTAGACTTTTTACTGACCAACATGTTTATGAAAGGTTATTTTAATTTATCTCAACCATTAAATAGAAATTGATTTTCCTGTGATGAACTAAATTGACCAGCTTTCTTCAGTTGCCTTTTCCATGAGGTCAACATTGACTCTTTTCATCTGCCCTCACAGGGAAACTTCTGTATATTATTTCAATTGATTATACTTGCTGAGCTATTTCTGCAACTACACAGGAGATTAAATCTATTGGACAGTTTGTGGTGAGTGAGGACCTACATCATTTTCAGTCACCTCAAGTACTAATAATGTGTCAAATATCACATTATGTAAGTGGTCTCTGTCTTGGAGGAGCTTTTCTCGTGTCCCAAAATGGGCTTGAGGCCTCAGTACACCAACTACTAAGCAAATACAGAAGGTTTATACCAAGTTTGAGGTTAAAACTTTATAAAGGTCTGTCACCAACCAGCATAAGGGCTATGTCACTGCGAGAGAGATTGCATGAAATAGGAATAACTGTGGTCCTTTAATCATGATCTATCATATCAAGGACCACCTGGGATGTCTAACATGCTCTCCTGTTAACTCCAAGTGAGGTGAGAAGAAATTTCTTCACCCCAGAGAGTGATGAGCTTGTGGAATTCTCTGCCACAGAAAGTGATTGAGACCAAAACATTGAATGCTTTCAAGAAGGAGTTGGATGTTGTTTTTAAGGCTAAAGAGATCAAAGGGTTTGGGGAGAAAGTGGAAACAGGGCACTGACTGGATGATCAGCCAAGGTCATATCAAACAGGCTCAAAGTGTGAACTAGTCTACTCCTGCTCCTATTTTCTATGTTTCTGTGTTAAAGGAGGTATATAAGCACATTTGTTTAGACTATAATTAATAGCTAGATAATTGCACTGAAATGCTTACACATCATCAAGATGTTCACTTGCATGAGAAGACAGGAAAGTTGATGGATTTGCCACCAATAGCAGCTTTTATGTGACAGGAACTGAGGCTTTCAGTCTCGGACAATCTTAAAACTGAAGAAAATCCACGATTTGATTGCCCTCCATTTACAAGGCACGCTGCCACCTAGTGGATTAAATGCTATTGAGCAAATTGATGTAAAGCGAATGAATTATTTGAATTGTGGAAAGAACAAAAAAAAAATGGATCTGAGAAACAAATGCTAGTTCAGGTGCTGAAAATGAAGCTCAATAACTGAGCAGCATAATACTTAGTAGCCAGTTCTTGCTGCTATTTTATACTATTTTCTGTATCATGTATTTAGTTTTAAGAATTGGGGCAAGTGGATGAGCTTAAAAAATTATTTTCAACGTTTTCAAAACTGGAAAGTAGGGTTGGGTTTGGGGTGTAGGATTTGTGGTTTAAGATTGAGGGATGATCCAGATAAGGAAAATAAACTATTATTGTAAACTAGGAAATGATAAATAAGTTGAATGGATTCTCCAGTCCACCTTTCAAAAACAAAAGTTGAACAAGTGGTGAAATTGATGATTTCAGCAGAGAAACCCACCATGAAGGAAGATGTTACTAGTTGCAGAAAGTCAATCATATCAACCATAGAACATCTCTGCAGGAGATCCTCAGGGAAATGTACTAGACCGAGCAACCATAAGCTGTAATTGCACAATGTTCATCACCGCAAGCACTTGCTTACCCCTCTCCCTGCTGCAACTTTATGTGTAATGGGGAATTGCCAGGCAACCTGATCACTGAAAATCCTGTTATTGCTCCCACTGTTTCTCCCAGTAGCTGGAGACCAATGCCAAGTTATGAAGCCCTATAACTTCCACTGTTCAGGTTGGTAGTGGGAAAGGGAGTGATGCTTTCTTTGTAAGAGCATACGAAATACGAGGCCATTCAGCTCCTTAAACTTTTCCCACCATTCTATAAAATCGTGGCTCCCACACCCCAACTTGCCTCTATGCCCAGCTCCAGTGGCAATCAGCACTGTGTACTGTCTGCAGTCCCAGCAGTGGCACCTCCAGTTCTGGGGAAGGGTCACCAGACCTGAAACGTTAACTCTGTTTTCTCCTCCACAGATGCTGCCAGACCTGCTGAGTTTTTCCAGCAACTTCTGTTTTTGTTCCTCCTTATAGTGGCACTGCTTGCACCAGAAAACCATTGGCCATTTGTCTGGTTGATTGTTCTTGGAGGAGGGGTTCCTTCCCCCGAATAGGGCGGAGGTTTTACCTTGTTACTTAGTGGTCCACCTACTGCTAAACGGTTGATGGACAAGCCAGCAGAACGATGCTGATACCAAGGACATGTCACCCAGTGTAAGATCGCGGTCTATTTCCCCAATACTATATCGATATCCATTTATAACTTGGCTGATTCTTCTCTAACAGTGCCAACTGATAACATGTTTCTAATATCTTTATGTTGCAGAAAGCTCCACAGAAGTAATGGAAAAACAGTTTAATCCAGAGACAGCTTTAAAAGTAAGTTAGAAATCAGACAGTCATAGAGGCATTCTGGCGTAGAAGGAAGCCATTCAGCCCATCAGGTCCATGCTGCTTTTCTGCAGAGCAATCCAATGAGTCCCATTCATTCACACTACCCCTGGAGCCCTGCAGGTTTATTTCCATTAAGTGCCTATCTAATTTCTTTTTGAAATCATTCATCGCCTCTTCATCTCCCATCCCTTTTGTGACATCCAGGTTTTTACCCCTCAGTGTATCAGTAAAAGTTTTCCCTCACATTTCCCATCTTTCTCTCGCCCAAAACCTTAATTCTGTCCCTCCCTTCAGGTTTCTCCCTTCAGATTTCATTCTCAATCTCTCCGTTTTACTTGTTTAAAGCACATAAGCAAATAATTATTTTCCAAAGAGAAACTATATTGTAATATAGTATGCAACAATATAACTTTCTTTCCAATGCCTTCCCTTTCTCCAATTTTTGGTGCTAAACATAGGATCTAAACAGCAGCTAAATGAACTCAGGCTTTTAAGGAAGCAATCAACATTAACTGCAACCAGCTTTCAAATAAGAAAAATGAAAGGTGTTTTCCATCATGAAATTTAAATATCTCCAGGTACATAGAAGGAAAATGTCACTAAAACTTGTGAATGCTGATCCATCTCATCTTACACTTCCAGACAGAGCTCCAGCACAACCACAATGTTCATTCCCAAGTATGACTGATTTTTAAATTTGTTTTATCTTTTGGGTTTCATCAAACAAAGGTACGAGAGTAAGCCAGGGACTTGACTGCTGAAAGATCAGCCAAACCAGGTGAAGAAAGTTCCGGAAAGAAGAGCGTAAACAGCCAGGCTAGAAGTAACTGAGCATGATTTAGTAGAATTAGTTAGGACATAGATAAGAATGTAATGTAGTTCTGCTATTGTCTGCTGTACACCACTGCCAAAACTCTAAAGGATTATAAAGAACTGCACAGAGTTACAGCAGAAAAACAGACCATTAAGGCTAACCACTATACTGGTATTTATGCATCCGCATGAGTTACCTTCAAACCCTATTATATATAATTCTATTAAAGCAGGAAAATTTACATGGTCTGGGGGAAAGCATCATTGATGGTGTGTGTGTGTGTGTGTGTGTGTGTGTGTGTGTGTGTGTGTGTGTGTCTAATATAACTCTATCTGGCTCCAATATTACAAATATGCTGTTTTATTGTGATAATGATAACTTTAGGTGATGCAGCAGCATCTTGTATCATTTGACGCCCTTCGCCAGCAGACTTTGCAGAAAGCCAGCTTGGTAAGCAATTTCCACTCTTACAATTCATTGACAAAATATATCTTAGACCTGGACTCGTGCTTTCTTCATTGGGAATGAAGACATAGGATACTTCCTGGTTCTGCAAACCTGACCTGTGAACAAGAAGTCTGGAACCCTGGGCTTTTATTCCCAGCCCTGCTAGGGAAACCCTGGAATGATTGCATAGGCTGCTGGGTGTGTAGGCATGCTGCCCCTATCCCACCCTAGCCCTTCATAACTAACATGTCAACTTATGTCCTACTTCAATGCAAGACCTTTTATAGCCCTTATATCAACTTAGTGCCCAGTCATGCCAACATATGCCCCTCTACTCATCAACTTTCATCATTCCTCATCTATGCCAGTTTAACTAGTATCAATCATGAGCAGACCTCAGGAGCCATGCTTATTTAAAATAAAGATATGCCTATTGATGGTGCCACTGTTAAAAACTCTCAGTGATTGAAATAAATCTTTCAATACTTTGGAATTCCTTCATCTATTCACTTATGAAAACAAACATTTCACCTAAGTAAGACAAAGCTTTATTTTCCATAGGAGCATGGAACTATCAATCATACTGCTCACTCAACAGGCACCCTACTATGAAAATGATAGGCTGGAAAATCAGTCATGTAGCATAAAATCTATGATGACAATTGTCAGGCTTATGTCAACAGCCACACTGTAATACCTAGCACTGATTTTTTTTTAAACTCCACATGTGTTTTATAAAGGCATTAAGCCTAACAAAGTTGATTCCCTTGATGATTTTGACAGCTCATTGGCAACTTTGCCAATTAATTGATAGCTTGAAATCTCTTTGACAGGTTGATTATTCTTTGACAACATTGATAGTTCTTTGACAGCCTAACAGTTCTTTTACAGCTTGACAGTTCTTTCCAAAGGACACTTGGTCTTTCCCAAAAGAATTCCTTCCCACTGACAAACAGTATCTTACTTCCAACAAAGGGCAGCTTACCTCCTTTGAAAGGTCTCTCAGGACCAGTTCCAGAGAGGTAGCTTACCATTCTAAAGGAGTAAATTTCATAACCAAGAAAATACACAAACAATAGACCTGCAATGAACTATTCTGTTTTGTGTAGATTAGGTTCCATATGAGAGGGATGCCAAAACAAGACTTGACTGGAGGAACATAGAACATAGAACATGGAACATGAAAGGTTATCGTTTAAATAGCAATCTGCTTCTGTGAATTGTACCTGCCTCTCCATGGTGGCATATATTTCAGCCACAGTGTAGATTTGCAATGGACCCGATAAATAATCATGTTTCATATCATACAACAACATGATTCAAAGCAATTGAAACTTTTGGCATTTAACAATGCAAAGGTGCCAATGATTTATTATTTTCTGCCTCCCAAATAGGAATAAGTTTTATCCCATCGAACTTTTAAAAATGCTTAAATAATTTCTCTTTTCCTTTCTCTCTGTATTTTGGGTTGTTTCAATCCCTGGCATTTAAACAAAACCTACCACCACTCCTACATCCTCTAACCTTCCAACCAAACAAAGTTAACAATTAAGACATCCCAACAGGCATCAATACTCTCCTGACTGCAGGGTCATTCAATTTAAGTTTTGACAGTTCCAACACATCACAGAGGCGGGGGATGGGGGGGTGAAATAAGGCGGGAATGTGATGGATTTTATGCAGTTGAAAGTAGGGAGGGATATGGGTGCAGAAGCGATTAAATGACAGAGATGTCATGGAGCAAAAATCAAAGGGAATGATAATGGTTGTAGTAAAGAAACAAAGTATTTGTCTACAGCAAATGTGAATGGCAGATGATGAACAGTTTGGTATGAAAGCAAGGTGGTGAATTAAAATGGCAAGCAACCAGAAGCTGGGGATCATGTTTGTAGATTGATTCCTTACCATTTTAATTCACCCACCTCTCTGCTGTGTTTACATTTTTGTCCTCAGTTTGCTGCAGTGTGCACTCTACAGCTTTCTGGATTCAATGTTGAGTTTAAAGTTTCAGACTATGGGCTCTCTCTCTTATTTTGATCCTTTTTATCATGTGCTAGTCTGAATTTCATTTACAGGTTTTATTTTTCTTTCAGATGGGGCAATATTAATCTGCCTTTCACATCCACCCTGGATAAATTGGACTTTTTTTAATCTCTATGATTCTATTTATAATCCTTTTTAGCTTTGATTGCTTTTTGATTACAAGTAAAATTAAGTACAATCCTTGTGAAAGCTTGTTTGCAGATAAGTGAGTGGTTTATTTTCCCATTAGTTATTTTAATTCCTGAAAGCTCAATGACAACTTGCACTTATTTGGTGATTTTAACACAGTGAAATATCCTCAGATGCTACATGGGAAAACAATGAGACAAAAATTGTTACAAGCCAAAGAGGAGTGATTATGATAGGTGACAAAACAATCAGTCAAAGATGTAGGTTTTAGGTAGTCTATTTAAAGGAGATGGAGAGTTAGCATTGCTGTAGCCATAGTTTAGGTAAAAGAAAAGTTGCCATTGTCCTACTGGATCATATGACTGCTCCCTTGTTAGACAGATGGAGGGAAATCTGGTGATGGTTTAACCTGAGGGTCACTGTGCGTCAGACAAGGGGAGAGGTGGGAAGGAAGGAGCAACCTGAGCCAGTGTGGGAAATGAACTCTGCATTGCAAACCAGCCATCCAGCCAATTGACCCAGTGAACAATTCCCCATCCCCCACAACTGAACTAACCAATGGGTCAGGTACATCACTAATATGGTATGGGAGGAAAAAGTTACTCAGCAGGGACATCAAACAACTCACAAAATTGTTTGCTAGTAGCTGCATTCGGCATTCATTCTATGGAGCAGATTACTGAAGTGATGTGATATTGCTGAATCATCTCAGTTTTACAAACATGAACATTCATCGATTATAAAAAGATACTGTGCATGAAGACACACTTTCATCACAGAGTAATCTTATAAGTATTTAACAGGGACTGCAGATGGAGAATGACCAAGTTTGTTACATGTGGATTTGTGTAATATTACAAAAAGATTCTTGATTAGCATAATGTATATGAAACTTAATATTAGATAAAGAGACTCCACAATATAATAGAGATACTGAGGCAGCACATTCCTGCATTTTAGCCTCCATTGGTTGTTACCTGGAAGGTGCAAAAGAGCAGAAGGTGAGATTTCTCATTTGGGACTTATGGGATTAGAGAACAACATCCCAGGATCCTAAGAAAGTTGGTTTGTAAATTTATTCACATTCAAGAGGTGATTTCTATACTGTCTGAGGAATAGAATTTGCTGAACATCAGAGAAGTCAATTCTGTAGCTGGGTAGAGGTAAAATGAGCACATCGTATTTGAAGTTATGAATAAGTGGAGAGACCACAGGAGAAAGGAGCCAGAATTTAAGGACATTAAACATTCTCTATTTTTGTAATTTAATTGTAAGACAAGGGGACAGCTTGGTCTCAAACGTAGATTACTGAGTATTTACTATAATCAAACCATACAAAGTATTAAGTGACATTGATATGGTTAATCTAGAACATAATGTCAAAGGCATCAGACCAAGGCAAAAACTGATGAAAAGGGTGTTTAGCTTAGGTGGCAGGAGGAATTTGTTTGCTAAAGTAGGGTAATGGATTAGCAACCTTTTGCTCATTCAAGAGTCAGCTGTGACACAATGGCTAGTCAAGGTCACATTTCTTCCGATGTATGAACTAGAATAGTGCCTTCATCTGTAAATGTTATGTCCATGGTGTTTAAAAAAAGTCCTTACATTAACTGCTTTGTACTTCAGGTTCAGTCTGAAATAAATGAGATATTTAACAGAAGGGAATTGGATGCAAGCAGCCATCAGTTCAGGCCATTTCAGCGGTCTCCCATCTGTAATCATGAAGATGCTCAGCTGTTAAAGGTGCAGTGTTTACACAAAATTTCAATAACAATTTCTTTGGTAATTGGACAGAATTCTGTTAAATTTGTAACTCTGCGCAATGGCCTTCTGTAATTGATAATCTCTTCCTCTAAGACAATCACTGACCGTGCCACACATAGCTCAATTTTTTTCCTCATTTCATCTCCTAATTCTAAGACAATCGATAATAGTTGGGTAAAACCTCCATGTGAAACTTTCACCCTTTAGTACCTTACCCAAAATAGCTATTAATAATGTGCTACCCCAATGAGGGATACTTATCTGAAGGCCATCAAAGTTCAGTTAAGTCTTAGACAAAAGTAAAATGCTCCTGATGCTGGAATTCTGTAATAAAAATACAAAATGCTGGAAATTTTCAGCAGGTCAAGCAGCATCTGTAGAGAGAGAAAAACAGAGCTAACAAGTCACATTTTCCCATCTTGAGGCATGACTGATGCCTCCAGGACTGCCTTGTCTCCTTGTAAGTGGTAGGTTCCCCATCTTCTTGTCACCATGCCTTCGGCCATGACAGCCAATGGATGGAGTGCATATTCAGCAGGCCCTAAGGATGCTGGACCTGGCTCTGCATAACAGTGCCCAACCTGTCCATGGCGACAGTCAGAAGATTGCATGCTTGAGGCATCTGGGCCCTCATAGTGTCGCTGCAGCCTCTGGACAATGAGGGACGTTGTCCCCAAGAAGCCATTTTTGTTGGCTGCTCCTGTTCCTCCCTGTGCAATCAGAAAAAGTCCTTGATTGCTGACTCCACAGGACCTTCTGTCCTACCTGGGGAAGAGCAGGGTCCTGGTCTTTGGCTGTTCTCCACGTGCCAGCAGACTGGGATCTGTCTTCCTCAGCCAACTGTGGACATGAAACGGTGAGGTACACATCAATTTTGTTTTAGCTGAGGAAATGCCTTCTGGTGGAGCAGTCTATTCTCTGCAGCGGCAGTTGTGATGATACTGTGGCTTTAAATACTGTGCATTTTGTCCTTTTTTTTATGAAGAAAGGTTAAGACAGAGGTAATGTGCAGTCTGCTCAAGGCCAACAAAGTAAACAGCTTGTGAGGTCTTTTGTTCTTTTTTAAAGTTGGAACAATAGAAGCAGCATGAATGGGTGGGGTCAAGCTCCCACAGAACCGGGAATTTTAGTTTTAGCTTTCTGCACCTTTTGACTATTGTTGAAAAAAGACACATTTAGTCCAAGCAGGCAGTTCCTTGAACAATCTGAGTCAGCCTGTCAGGTTTAAAATTTAAACAAAGCATGGTAGTTAACTGTCAATTATTATTAGTTGGTGCATTGCCCGTGACAATGCCTCTACAATCAACGCTCATGCAATTTAAATGCTGTTTTACTGCTTGCTTTGGTATTCTTGAGAATTGTACTGATGAGTGCTAGAAGAAAGGTTTTGACAAGCCTTTTCTCAGCAATACTTAATGTTCTATACCAGCAATAGGTTACCTAAATCTTATTTTCTAAAAACAACACTGTAGTTTAATAATCAGAAGGCTATTTATCCATAATTTTCTGATTTTATTTAAAAATAAGTGCTGCTGTGCATTACCTCAGTGATTTTGCTTTACTATATTTTAGGGCTGGAACAGTCTAGGAATTTCTCCTCAGGATTCCAATATAGAATCTTGTACATCTGCTGATAAGACTGATCTGATGGATGAACCTCATGTCAATAAGATGAATGAAGGCTTAATTCAAAATGACAGCTCACTTCTCCACTCTTCAGAAGGTAGTTTGGTGTCTCTGATGCCAGTAAGCTTACTTAAAGAACACCCATTAGAAAACAAAACCCTTCAGCACACAAGCGATCAAATTGAATATAAAACATCTTTTCCAGTTTGTGGTTTAGGTTTCCCATGCCATCCTGCAGCACTGTCGTCTAAATCAAACTTAAATTCCTCTCCTACTAAAAAAGCTGTAAGTGGTCACATTAGAAGTGAGGTACATTTGCTGCAATATAATGATGAAAGTCGGACAATATTAGAGAAAATTTGCATTGCCGGTGAACAGATGAGGCTGCAACCGGAAAGGTCACAGAATTGGGAGCTGATCCTTGATTGTGAACTTAAGCGCCTTCAAAATGTTGCTCAGCTTACAGGTAAAGTAACTGCTGAAAGGTCTACCCAAACCCCTCAAGAAATATCTGTTTGTCTTAGAAGTCTAAATCTGGAAATCAAAGTAGACAATAAAGAGAAGACCTTAGAACTGGAAACTCTAGTGACGAGGTTACAGAATGCTATGGCGGGTTGCAATGTAGATCTTCACAGGCAACTGGACAAAGAAAGTGATTTCAATGGCCCACACCATTGGAACCACTGGACCAAAACTGGAAATAACTCAGTGATTTATGACAACCAAAAGGAAGAAAGAATGAATGAATATATTTCTCATCAGGAAAAACCTGAGAGTATTTCAAGTCATGAGTCAACTTTAGAAAGGGCCAACCACGTTTGTCATATGGCGAAACAAAAGGGTTACTCTAATAGGATGGTAGAGGAAAAGATGGATGATGTTAGTGCTGCTGCAGATGGAAATGCCTCCTGGCTTCCCTTATCAGAATATCGCAATCGTATATTAAATGGATTGAAGTTAAAGGATGAGAAATCAGATGTTCAGTCAGCAGCTGGCAAACTCACAGCAACTTTTGATTCTGTCCTGCAGGAAAACGCAGAATGTAAATGCTTAGTTTCTAAGTTGGAAGAAGAAAAAAGAACACTTCAGGCTCAATTTAATGAAATGGAGGTGAAAAGGAAGATTTGCATTGAAGAGCTCAACTCATTACTTAGGAGGCATGAGGATCTCCAGAAACAAAACCAAGAACTTGAAGCAGAAAGACAGCAACTAATCACTGAAAAGGAAAGCTTTATAAGATTGGTAGATAAGATGATGGAGGAAAAAGAAGATTTACTTTCTGTCATTGGAGCAAAAGAAACAGTTCTGCAGTTAGAGAAGACAAAGGAAGCGGTACAGGCTGTTAATGCAAATGCATTGCAGTTTGAGAATCTGCAAATGAATCAAAGTATTAATGAATTACAGAAAGAGATAACGTTCTTGAGAAATGAGCTGGAAAAGGCTAGTTGTGAAATGCAATGTACGAAAGCAAAGTATGCGGTCATGAGGTCAAAGAATCTGATGCTTTTCCAACTTGTACAGGAAGTCAAGAACAAGAATTACAAACTGGAAAAGTCTTTGCAAAATTCTGTTACTGCAAGCAAGTGCCTGAAGGAAGATGTCGAAGTAAAAATAGAGAAGTCAACTATGAAGGAGGGATCCCTGAATGAGATGGATCAAGAGTATCATGGGAAGAACTTGACTGAAAGTTGCTCAAGTGATCTGGTCAAGAAATGTGAAATGATGTCAAAGGTTGTGGAGATACTTACTGAGGAGAATCAGGTTCTCAACCAGGATCTTGAGAAATACATAAAAGCCAACTTAAAACTGGAGTGCATTGTGAGAATGCTGAATGAAGAATGGCGGCTGTGGGGAAAACATGCATGGAGCACGGAGCAAGAAATGAATTTCTTACATCCAGAAATGAGGAAAGTACGTTCATCTTATCTAAGCGATGTTAACAATGCTATTCAGTTTTCTCACCAAAGGGAGGAAGATGAGATGCCAGATAATCAGCTCAATCTTTCAGACATATCCTTAAATGTAACAGATCTTTCAATTAGTGATGGTTCCAGGATGGCATTATGCAGCAGTCCAAAAGGTACGACACAAGCAAAATCATTAAATTTTATCAGCATTTTCTTAATTTTATCCATATAGAATAAAAAGGCAGATTTATAGACAGTGATTTTATACTGATTGCACAGCGTGCTAAATGCCTACAATAGTCCAGTACGCCACAGATTCATATTTGTCATTCTTACATTTTTAAAGAAAATTAGACAATAATTGAAAATTGACAATTAACTAAATTTAGATGCTGCACAGTGGACAATGTTTAGTGCCTTTTGACTTAAGTGAATTGAAGAGAAATGATTTTATTCTAGCAACTTTGTTCTTGCTTTTTGATCTTAAACTACTTAAAGAATAACTTGGAACAAACAACATAGGTGGAACTAGGATGAAGTTTCTGCACAGAGATTATGAGGATCTAGTGGCTAAATTAAGAAGCAGAAAAACAAAGGTTATAACCTCTGGATTATTAACTGAACTGAGTGCAAAATGACACAGTGTACTTAAAATTAGAGAGAGGATCACTTGTCTCAAAGTCTGGTGTGGTACAAGTGGGTTCCCATCAGTGGGTCACTGGCACCAGTGCGGGGGAAAATGGATGCTGTAACATTGGACAAGACATTACATTGGACAGGTAATGTATTGGCATGGATAGAGGATTGGTTGACCAGTAGAAAGCAAAGAGTAGGGGTAAATGGGTGTTTTTCTGGTTGGCGGTCAGTGGCTAGTGGTGTGCCTCAGGGATCAGTGTTGGGACCGCAATTGTTTACAATTTACATCGATGATTTGGAGTTGGGGACTGAGTGTGGTGTGTCAAAATTTGCAGATGACACTAAGGTGAGTGGTAGAGCAAAGTGTGCAGAAGAGACTGAAAGTCTGCAGAGGGATATAGATAGTTTAAGCAAAGTGGGCAAAGGTCTGGCAGATGGAGTACAATGTTGACAAGTGTGAGGTCATCCATTTTGGTAGGAATAACAGCAAAATGGACTATGTTTTAAATGGTAAAAAATTGCAGCACGCTGCTGTGCAGAGGGACTTGGGTGTCCTTGTGCATGAATTGCTAAAAGTAGGATTGCAGGTGCAGCAGGCAATTAAAAAGGCAAATGGAATTTTGTCTGCCATTGCTAGAGGGATGGAGTTAAGTGATGTAAAGTTGGTGGATTTGGTAATAATGTTAATCAAGAATGGCATTTGTGCAATAGTTAGAATGATTCAGGGAATCGTGATGCAGAATCAGTTTGGATAGAGAGGAGATATAGGGAAAAAAATCATTAGAGGAATGGTTTACAGGCTCCTTAAGAGTCGCCATAATGTGGGACAAAGTATATAAGAAGAAATATTAGACATATTGTAGTAACCTTGATGAGCGGTTCATTGAACTTATAATTTCCTAGAGAAGCATATTTTGAAACTGACCAGATAGTGGATTATATTAGTTTTGGTATTGCATAATATGACTGGATTCATTAATGACCACAGGGTCAAGTGCCTCTTGGTAGCAGCAACCACAATATGATTAAATTTTGCATCTAGTTTGAAAAGAAGTAAGGGTCTAAGGCTAGTATTTTAAACCTAAATAAAGGCAACTATATGGGAATGTAGCTGACCTAGCTAATGTGAACTGGCATACTAGAGCTGGGAATAGCTCAACAGAGACACACAGTGGCAGACAGCTAAGGGGACATTTCAAAATTCTCATAATAAATACGTTCTTCACAATAAAGAAAAATTCTGAAGGGAGGATGTGTCATCTGTGATTGATGAAAAAAGAAAAGGTTAGAGGAAATATCAAACTTGAGGAAAAGCATATAACTGCACAAAGATAACTGATCAGGATGTGAGGAATAGCAGAGAACGTAATAACAGAAAGCAAAGGATTATGCAGAATTTTAAAAGGAGAAGGTAAACCGAGTGTTGGTCCTTCAGAGAGTAGAAATGAGGAGTTAATAATCAATAATAAGGAAATGGAAGATGAAATGCAGAGTTATTTTCTGAATCACAAAATTCCAGAATTGTTATGGCGCAGAGTGAGGCACTTGGTCAATTGTACATGCCCTGGTTCTATTCCCTAGTGCCAATCTCCTGCTTTTTCCTTATATCCCTGCATACCTTTTCTATCTAAAAAATTATCCGATATATCCTGAGATAACAAGGTGTACAGCTGGATGAACACAGCAGGCCAAGCAGCATCATAGGAGCAGGAAGGCTCACGTTTCGGGCCTAGACCCTTCATCAGAAATGGGGGAGGGGAAGGGGGTTCTGAAATAAATAGGGAGAGAGGGGGAGGCGGATAGAAGATGGATAGAGGAGAAGATAGGTGGAGAGGAAACAGACAGGTCAAAGAGGCAGGGATGGAGCCAGTAAAGGTGAGTGTAGGTGGGGAGTTTGGGAGGAGATAGGTCAGTCCAGGGAGGACGGACAGGTCAAGGGGGCGGGATGAGGTTAGTAGGTAGGAGATGGGGGTGCGGTTTGAGGTGGGAGGAGGGGATAGGTGGGAGGAAGAACAGGTTAGGGAGGTGGGGACGAGCTGGGCTGGTTTTGGGATGCAGTAGGGGGAGGGGAGATTTTGAAGCTTGTGAAATCCACATTGATACCATTGGGCTGCAGCGTTCCCAAGCGGAATATGAGTTGCTGTTCCTGCAACCTTCGGGTGGCATCGTTGTCGCACTGCAGGAAGCCCAGGATGGACATGTCATCTGAGGAATGGGAGGAGGAGTTGAAATGGTTCGTGACTGGGAGGTGCAGTTGTTTATTGCGAACCGAGCGTAGGTGTTCTGCAAAACGGTCCCCAAGCCTCCGCTTGGTTTCCCCGATGTAGAGGAGGCCACAACGGGTACAGCAGATGCAGTATACCACATTAGCAGATGTGCAGGTGAACATCTGCTTGATGTGGAAAGTCTTCTTGGGGCCTGGGATGGAGGTGAGGGATGAGGTGTGGGGGCAGGTGTAGCACTTCCTGCGGTTGCAGGGAAAAGTGCCGGATGTGGTGGGGCTGGAGGGGAGTGTGGAGCGGACAAGGGAGTCACGGAGAGAGTGGTCTCTCTGGAAAGCAGATAAGGGTGGGGAGGGAAAAATGTCTTTGGTGGTGGGGTCGGATTGCAGATGGCAGAAGTGTCGGAGGATGATGCGTTGGATCTGGAGGTTGGTGGGGTGGTACGTGAGGACGAGGGGGATTCTTTTTTGGTTGTTATTGCGGGGACGGGGTGTGAGGGATGATTTGCGGGAAATGCGGGAGACACGGTGGAGGGCGTTCTCGACCACTGAGAGGGGAAGTTGCGGTCCTTGAAAAACGAGGACGTCCGAGATGTATGGGAGTGGAATGCCTCATCCTGGGAGCAGATGCGGCGGAGGCGAAGGAATTGGGAATAGGGGATGGCATTTTTGCAGGAAGCTGGGTGGGAGAAGGTGTATTCTAGGTAGCTGTGGGAGTCGGTGGGCTTGAAATGGATATCGGCTTCTAGGTGGTTGCCCAAGATGGAGACAGAGAGGTCCAGGAAGGTGAGAGAGGTATTAGAGATGGTCCAGGTGAACTTAAGGTCGGGGTGGAAGATGTTGGTGAAGTGGATGAACTGTTCAAGCTCCTCGTGGGAGCATGAGGCGGCACCGATACATTCATCAATGTAACGGAGGAAGAGGTGGGGTTTAGGGCCAGTGTAGGTACGGAAGAGGGATTGTTCCACCTAACCTAACTACTCACAAAGTGAAAACCAATCAGGAAAGTCAGCATGGTTTTGTCAAAGGCAAATCATGATGAAACAATTTATTGGAGCTCTTTGAAGGAATAACACATGCTGGGGATAAAGGGCAGCTTGTAGATATACTGTACTATTCTTAGACTTCCAGAAGCCATTTGATAAGATAAATGTCAAAGGTTATTCTGGAAAATAAAAGCTCAGGATGTGAGGGAAACATATCGTTATAGATAGAAGATTAGCTGACTGGTAGAACACAGACACTATGCATAAATGGCTCATTGTGTGGATGTGATTTTAATCTTCCTGCCAAAGTGAGCAACTTAGATTTTTCCACATTATACTCCATCTGCCATATTTTGCCCACTCATTTAAACAAATTATAATGATCTGCATCCTTATGGCCTCTACACAACATAACTTCCTACCTATCTATATGTCATTCACAAATTTAGCTACCAGAACTTCACTTCCCTAATCTAAGTCATTAATGTAAATGATGTAAAAGTCTGAGGCAAAGCACAGTTGCCTACAGGACTCCACATGTCACATCCTGCCAATTAAAATAAAAGGCACACTCTTTGTTTTCTGCCAGTCAGCCAAACTACTATCCACACCAGTATGTGATGCTCTATACCACGAGCTCCTAGTTGTGCAATAAATGTTTGTGTGCTTCTCTGTGAAATGGCCTACTCCTGTGATCATTCATATGTTTCTATTTTAAACTCTCATGGCAAACATTGTATTTAATCTCTTCCTGTCAAATATTCAAACCTTCAGTGGACAGGCATCTCCAATTCTGAATCATGTCAGATCTATCCTGCTCTTAACAACTGAGCTGTGTGATGGTAATCCTCTGAAAACATAACCAGTCAATAGAAAGAGTCCACAGTCATGAGAGATAGCAAATTTGAAAAACACAGAAGAAGAGGTTAAAAAGTAACATGCAAGCTAGTAATTTGTTAGTCATCTGTGAACCAATCAGATTTTGATATCTATATCATCAGAATCCCTAAAATAAATTATAATCCATTGATCACTTTCAATCTAAAAAGTGGACCTGGATATTTTAGGGAATTTTCAGTACTACATTTAATTATTTCTTCTGTCTATTATTCTGCAGTTCAAAGCAATATTGATGAGACTGGACGAAAATTTGAGGAACTGCATGAGGAACAAAAATACAGAAACACAATCCAGCAAGATGGGACAGTCTCACCACACAGCACAGCAACCACAGACTGGTGAGAGAACTGAGTTTCAAAACATTAGCTTATCATCACTGCAGGATGACACAAACTTCTTAAGATGCACAGAGACCAATAGAAACTAACAACGATAGACATGGGTCAGTAAAAATATACATAAACAAAGAATTGCTTAGGCTTTCCACATGGGCAAGGAACGTATGTGGGTGATAACTAGGCTGCTATTTGAATCACCGGAAATTTGACAGAACTGAATTATCAGAAAAGACTAGTTTTGAATTCACTGCAATTTGTTTCCAGCCTAGACTGCAATTATGTTTGAAACCATTGGAATGCTGTGAAAGTCCTTGAGAGTTTACAGAATGTAAATGGGGACGGACAAGTTTTAGTTCCAAGATTAGATTGGAGAAGTCGGTTTGGAGCAAAGGAGACTCAAGGGATGTTTAATAAAGGTGTGAGACAACAAGGTGCAGGGCTGGATGAAACAGCAGGCCAAGCAGCATCATAGGAGCAGAGGATGCTGCTTGGCCTGCTGTGTTCATCCAGCCCTGCACCTTGTTGTCTCGGATTCTCCAGCATCTGCAGTTCCTACTATCTCTGATTTAATAAAGGTGTACAAGATTATGTCAGGCTTAGATAAAGGACTAAGTGACATGAATTTAAGGCTTCAGGCAGGAAATACAGGGGCATGTTCAGGAAGAATTGTTTTACACAGTTAATGGTAAGGATCTGGAACTCATTGTACACATGTGGTGGAAGCAGAAACAATCAATGTTTATAAAAGGACATTAGATAAGAACTTGAAGGAAATACATTTGCAAGGCTACAGGAATCAAGTTGGAGAGAGGGACTGACTGGATTACTCTATGAGGAGCTGGCACTGACTTGATGGGCCAAACTTGATACACAGTACATAACCTTACATTTATGACTCCACTTATTTATATCAGGCTAGTGGTCCAATTTTAACTTGGCTAAATCGGGCACTAGCAAAGCAGAAATCACCAGAGAATTGGGCCAGGAGCTTAAAATGACCATTGCAATGGCTGTAGCTATTTTGAAATGGCAATTGCTAGATGGCTGGATCACTCACCGTGAACCTTACAATATCCAGCCGGTGTGCCATGAAATACCCTGATTATCATTTCAGATAGATTTGAGCAGTGATACTAGTCGTGGAGCACAAGAGGCTCCAAAATGTTACATTCTTAAAATTATTTTTGTGGACCCAATAGCGTAGCAGTAACTTCACTGAGCCTACGGCAGCCACTAAGGTCGCTACCTTGAGTTCATTCTGCTGCACTGCTAAGTTGCCATTACACTTTCATTTACCTTGCCAGGCAGTCTTTGGTCTAACCAAAACCTGAAAACATCAGAAAAGCCAGCAGGTCCAAGAATATTCATGGACAGCGAACAAAGTCAATGCTTCAGGTTAGTGATCTTCGACATAAGGTCATAGACCTGAAGCATTAATTCTTGCTTCTCTCCCCAGGCACTGCTAGGCCTAATGAGAGTTTCAAGCATTCCCTGTTCTTGATGCAGATTTTCAGCACCTACAGTTTTCTGCTCTTTGGACAGCTTTTAGGTTTCCAGCCATTGTGTTCGCCCAAATTTAGAATATTACACGGAGCACCCATTATTCACTTGCAATCATTGGCATCAGTTATAATGTCCTTCCTGTACAAATAAGTGAATTGATGCCTTATTTAGAACAGACATTTGGAAATTAAATTAACTGTTGCTGGAGAGATACAGGCCAAGCGCAGGCAGGTGGGACTAGTTTAGTTTGGAATTATGATCGGCATGGACTGGTTGAACCATGTTGTATGACTCTATGACTCAATGACTAATGTGAATAAGTATTCATATTTAGGAACATTATGTTTAAAAATAAATTATAGATCAGTTTTATAAGTATCATCACATGGCTTGAAAGTTCAATGGCAAATAACCAGACAGTTTTCTAATGGTATATTCCTTAACTTTAGGAAAACATGGAACACTGTTGGCGGATCAGGGGATGCATCACAAATAATGAAAGATCCAAACTTACCTTTACTCTGTATCAAGCAGCATTATCATGGATTCGATGGGAAAAGCGCTTCCCCTCTTTTAGAAAAGGAAAATAATTGGAGGTCCCAGAATTTGGAGTGTGGTTTAGATGAGAAGCTGAAGGTAATTTGTTAATTCCTAGTGGTTGTGAGAGAACTGGGTGATTATCCTTACTTTTTTGTACTGGGTTTAATCTTGGGAAACAGAGTTTTAGATCTGAAACGTTCAACTCAATGCTGAGTGCAGAAAACTGTAAGCTGCTGTTCCTGAAGCTATTGTTGAGCTTCACTGGAACGGTTCATCAGGCCAAGAACAGAGATGTCAGGGTGAGAGGTAACTTATTAATTAACGTGACAGACCATTAGAAGCTCAAGGTCATTCTTATGGACAGAATGAATGTGCTCCATAAAGCAGTCATTAAATCTATATTTGGTCTCCCCAGTGTAGCTGAGACCACATTGTGAGCATTGAATACAGTAAGCTAAAATGAAAGAAATCCAATTGAAGTGCTGCTTCGCCTGGAAGGAATATATAAGGGCAGATATTACATCTCCTGCGTTTTCATGAAAAAGAGCCGTGAGAAGGGGTTGGTCTGATTAAGATGTGGATCAGGGTGTGCAATATGCAAAGGGATGGGCAGGAGAAATGGTGGTATCACACTGGAAGTGGCAGAGGTGACAAGATATGTTCCGTTGAACATGGAGGCTGGTGCAGTGGAAAATGAAGGCAAGGGAATCTCTATCATGGTGCTGGGGAGGGTGAAGCAGTGACAGCAGAAATGTGGGAAAAAGATTAAAATGGAGACTCGGAATGTCACCATTTTAATGCACTCTGTATTTTTCACAGCATATGTTTATTTTTATTACTGAACGAATAATTTACTTCAATTTTACTCATCTCTGTACCTTGAAAACATGTTTTGTTGTTATTTCAGTCCATTGATTTTGTTTTTGTCAAAGTTTAGTAATATTTTGGTTTCAGTTTTAGGACCTAATCAAAGAGTTTTAGGTTTTTTGATTTACACAGCATTGTTTCAAGAAAGCAGCTTACCATCAACTTCTCTGGGGCAACTAGTGACAGTAATAAATGCTGACCCACACAATGACACCAATATCCCATGAACAATTAAATTATTACATAGGCCTACATTAGATACATAGCATAGAAATGGGTCATTTGGCCAACTAACTCTATGCTGGTGTTTAATCCTTCTTCTGCCTTTCCTCACCTAAATTCAAAATTGTAACTCTCAGTTCTCTTATTTCTCATTTTCTAATCTAGCCTCTCCTTAAATCCATTTACACTTTTGCTTCAACTGCTTTATGTGGTATGAAGTGTCACTATTTTTCTTCTATATTTATATTTTGCTCCTTCCACATATGTTTCATTCAACAGCATTTCCAACTGCTTTCAAAAGTGCTGACAAGCAATGTTATGAAATGACAAACTGTTTGGCCAATTCAATTTTCACAATTATTTCTAAAAATTCCGAGCTATTCAAGTTCTCAGCAGCATTTTCAATTGCCCTCGCAAATTCCATTCCCACGTGGCATCTCAATGTCCTGAAATCTCTAGGATGCACTATTACTTTCAAAGTGAGGGTGGGAAAGGAGTGGTAATGGGAATTATTTTGCTTAAATTCCTTGAGAAGCTTGTTATTTGGTCTGAGGGCGACAGAGGGTAATTTTCAAATCAAAGTTGCCAGACCCAAACAATTTGCCACACCTTAGTGACAATGCCAGTGTCAGTTTCAGGAAAGGGAGTATTGAGGTTTTAATTGGGAAAACATTTTGCTACCAGGGATTTTTGGGTGATAGCAGGCACTGTATATTCTCGTTGGCTGTTTGGTCACTTCTCTACACAGTGAGTCCAAGAGCCCTTCAATGACCTGCACTCATTCAAGTGAAAGACAGGCCTAACTATGGCTGCCATATGCCTCAGATGTTATGTGATACAGGCAGTCCCTACCATCCAGTGTGGTCAATGCCATCGACTATGAAAAAGCTCACCACAAACCCAATTATAGCATGCACAGTTAAAGGTAGCATCATGTGAGCAAAGTGGATGTTTGGGGATGCAGAAATTACCTCAGTGTTAATGTTGATTAATAAAATGCAATTCACACAACTGCAATAACTTTATTCCTCAACTTATTTTTGTTTTAAGTGAAAAATCACTTTGAAAGAGCCTCATTTCAGCTTTGATCCTCTCTCTTTCTTGTTTCTCGTCACCCCCTCTAAATAGCATTGGCTCCTGACTAGGATAGGATTCCAACTATATTTTGTACAGCCTAACATTATGTTACTGAAGTATTAGAGCTGCACTGAAATTTATAAATATAAACCTATCACTGGAGTTACTTCACATATATTGATCCTTAACTGTAATCTGTTGGGTTAAATTGTGAGGTCATCATAATACCACAAGGAGCTCTCAGTAATTTGTTATAAAGCTCAGTATGTGTTAGTCATTAGAGGGTCTTGAGGTGGTGTCCTTCCCTATACCTGGGCCAGAAGGTCTGGGTACAAGTCTTAACTATCCTGGAGCTGTGTTGTTAATATGTCTGAGCAGAGTGATTAACATAACTGCACTAGTCCAGAGGAATCTAAAGTTTATATATAAATTATTTTGGAAATATACACCTTCTATGAATGAAATAAATCCACTTATTCCGTTTTAGTTTTCCAGTATCTTCGCATTCTTGCAATAACTCGCTCACAATCACCTTGGCAGCTGTTGTTATTTGTTGAAAGGTACTTGTTTGCATTTATAGTAATCTTACATGCACAACAATAGATTACGTTATATTGGAAATCCCTGAGATCCTATACTGTTACTTGAAAAGGGTGCCAGCTGCTGGGTGTTAAGGAAAGTGAATAAAATATGCCAAGGTTGTTTCAATAATACCGTTAAATGCCCTTGTGTTTTGTTTTCTAATTACTTTTTGTTATTGCATTGTAGACTCCAGATCCTCAAAGCTAAACAAAGAATAAGGGAGAAGTTCTGATCAGTCTGTGCAAAATTCCTGAAGAACAGAAACGTGTGTTGACTATGGGCCAACTGAGCACAAATAATGGCATCATGTGCAATATTCTTTTTTTATTTAAATACTGCATGTAGCCCCATACTTTATTTGTTGCAGAAATAAATCCCAGCAGTCTCATTTATTGAATGTTGAATGTGCAAGCAGAAGCAAGGTGTACTTGTTGGAAAACATACTTCGAAAATTTAACATTCAGCACTATTACAATAAACATTTTATATTTCAAACATGAGAAATGAAAAAAATTGCTTTAGAAATTATGCTACATTTCAGAACGTGGGTGCTTGCCAGTTTTTAAGGAACCTTTCTAAACAAAAGGAAATCTTCTTCAACATACCAAAGGAGTGGAAAAATAGTTAGAAAGGACAATTCCAGGTATCATGCATACTTGCATAGAAGACAAGTTTTTGAAACAAGTTTTAGTGGGGAAATGTAGATCAGGTCATATATGTGTAATATCCCTGAGGGTTTGAAATCCATACCATCTCTACCTGGACTTCAAGAAGGCCTTTGATAAGGTGCCACACAGGAGGCTGCTGAGTAAGATAAGAGCCCATGGTGTTAGAGGCAAGGTGCTAGCATGGATAGAAGATTGGCTGTCTGGCAGAAAGCAGAGAGTAGAGATAAAGGGGTCTTTCTTGGGATGGCAGCCGGTGATGAGTGGTGTTCCGCAAGGGTCAGTGCTGGGACCACAACTCTTCACTTTGTACATTAATGATCTAGATGAAGGAACTGTGGGCATTCTGGCTAAGTTTGCAGACGATTACAAAGATAGGTGGAGGGACAGGTAGTATTGAGGAGGTGGCGAGGCTGCAGAAGGACTTGGACAGCTTAGGAGAGTGGGCAAAGAAGTGGCAGATGGAGTACAACGTGGGAACGTGTGAGGTCATGCACTTTGGTAAGAAGAATAAAAGCATGGACTATTTTCTAAATGGGGAGAAAATTCAGAAGTCTAAAGTGCAAAGAGACTTGGGAGTTCCAGTCCAGGATTCTCTCAAAGTAAACTTGCAGGTTGAGTCAGTAGTCAGGAAGGCAAATGCAATGTTGGCATTTATTTTGAGAGGACTTGAATATAAAAGCAGAAATGTACTGCTGAGGCTTTATAAGGCTCTGGTCAGGCCACATTTGGAGTATTGTGTGCAGTTTTGGGCCTCATATCTCAGGAAGGATGTACTGGCCCTGGAGTAGGTTCAGAGAAGGTTCAAGAGAATGGTCCCAGGAATGGAAAGCTTAACATATGAGGAACGTTTGAGGACTCTGGGACTATACTCATTGGAGTTTAGAAGGATGAGGGGGGATCTAATTGAAACTTTCAAAATACTGAATGGCCTGGACAAAGTGAATGTTGGGAAGATGCTTCCATTGGTAGGAGAGTCTAGGACCTGAGGGCACAGGCTTAGAGTAAAGGGAAGACATTTTAGAACGGAGATAAGAAGAAACTTCTTCAGCCAGAGAGTGGTGAATCTATGGAATTCACTGCCACAGAAGGCTGTGGAGGCCAGGTCATTGAGTACATTTAAGACTGAGATAGATAAGTTCTTGATTATGAAGGGGATCAAGGGTTACGGGGAGAAAGCAGGAGAATGGGGTTGAGGAACTTATCAGCTATGATTGAATGGCGGAGCAGACTTGATAGGCCAAATGGTCTAATTTCTGCTCCTATGTCTTATGGTCTTACCTGTTCTGGGGAGCCGACAGCACAGTCTCATTAGTTGCTGGCCTTGGTACTGAATTCAACAGGGAACTTAGAGTTGTAGAGACATACAGCATGGAAACAAACCTTTTGGTTCAAATAATCCCCGCTGGCCATGTTCCCAAACTAAACTGGTCCCACCTGTCTGCATTTGGCCCAAATCCTTACAAACCTTTCCTATTCATGAGATTATCAAACGTCTTTTAAATGGTGTAACTATACCTGCATCCACCACTTACTCTGGCAGTTTGTTCCATACACTAACCACTCACTGTGTAGAAAAGTTGCCCTTCGTATCCTTTTTAAATCTTTCTCCTCTCACCTAAAAAATATGTTCCCTAGTTTTGAATTCTCCCACCATAGGGAGAAGACCCTTTTTATTCACCTTGTCAATGCCCCTCATGATTTTATAAACCTCTATAACATCATCCCTCAGCCTCCAGTGAAAAAAGTCCCAGCTTATCCAGCCTATTTTTGTAACTCAAACCCTCCATTCCTGACAATACCTGGCAAATTTTTTTCTAAACCCTGTCCAGTTTAATAATATCCTTCCTATTACAGGGTGACCAGAACCATGCCCAGTACTCCAGAAGAGGCCTCATCAACGTACTGTACAACATCAACTTGACATCCCAACTCCTATACTCAAAAGTCTGAGCAATGAAGGCAAGCATGGTAAATGCCTTAACCGCCCTGTCTGCCTGTGACACAAATTTCAAAGAATTATGTATCCTGAACTCTTAGGTCGTTTTGTTCTACAACACTACTGTTACTTAAGCCATTTGCTTCTGATTGTTTAAATGAGAAAAGAGCAATTGCGAAACAGTCACGAGAAGGTTGCTGACAGTGAGCTTTCTAGATGATTGTCGACCATATTCAGGATGGGGTCCCTCTAACAACCAGGTTCTTCCTCCATACTGAAACTTCTATAGCTAATGCACCACCAGCCCCTCCCCCAATATGAAAATGTAAGAACATTAAAGCCAAAAGTCATGGGTTAACTGATACATATGATATGTGGGGATTGTCTTTTATATGAGATTCACTATTCGTTGAGTATATACAGTACAATAATATATTTTATGGTCAGGTATAACAGTGTACATAGAGACATTTAGTGTACATATAGTGTGACTAACAAAATTGTATTTCAATTCTTTGCTGGATTTACAATGCTACTAAACTTACTGCCAAGAGTAATTTTTTCCTCCAGTTGTAAAATTTAATTGCAATCTCACTTTTGACCTTGTATTTGCAATGATATATTTTAAAATTACTTTTTTAATTTCTGTTTTATGACAATAGACACTCTCACTGCAGTAGTTAGTTGATATTTCAGACAGACACTGAATCTAATTCTCCTAAATATTGCTGATCCAGACTCAAAATTATAACCACTACAGGATTTTCTTCTTTTTTACTGTAAATATTGCCAACTTTCTTGGTTTTCCACTTCCCAATTAAAAAAAAACACAAGCAATCATTTTCAATTTGCTTTGGGATGTAGTTTGACATTAAGGATACGATGTTCAAAATAGTTGGACAGTAAATTGTGACAGTTTCTATAAAAGGTTCCTAATCTACAATAAATGGAAAATATATGCTGGCTGTGCCCACATCCCAAGACAGAACTTTTTTTAAAGAAAACGTCAGCTTTATTCTCCAAGTGTAACTTGAAATTTCCTTTCTACTACAATGTAATAGTAAGAAAGAATATTGGCTTAGAAATCATGATGTGGAATTTGTATAGCTAGAGATAAGAAGCACCCAAAGGCAGAAAACATTGCTGAGGGTTATCCATAAGACCATAAGATATAAGAACAGAAAAAGGTCATTTGACCCATCGAATCTGCTCTGCCATTCAATCATGGCTGACATGTTTTTCAGCCCCGTTCTCCTGCCTACTCACTGCAACCCTGGATTCCCTTACCAATCAAGAGCCTATCTATCTCTGTCTTAAATACACTCAATGACTTTGCCTCCACTGCATTCTGTGGCAATGAGTTCCACAGATTCACCACCTTCTGACTGAAGAAATTCCTCCTCATCTCAATTCTAAACTGTTGTCCCTTCACTCTGAGGCTGCACCCTTGGGTCATGGTCTCTCCTACGAATGAAAACATCTTCTCCACATTCCTATAGATTGGACGGTAGCAAATGTAATCCCACTATTTAATAAGGCAAAGAGAGAAAAATAGAGATTTCCAGATTGGTTAGCCTAACATCAGTATTTGGGAAAATCCTGGAGTCTATTATAAAACAGGTGATTACAGAATATTTGGAGAGAATTGATGAGATTGAACAAGCCGGAATGGATTTAAGAAAGGCAAATCATGCTTGATAAATTTACTAGAGTTTTTGAGGATGTAACTAGTGGAATAGAAAACCTGTGGATGTGGTGCATTTGGATTTTCAGGCTTTTGATAAGGTCCCACTTAAGAAGTCAGTGGGCAAAAACAATGCAAGATTGTGAGTAATATATTGGCACAGATTGATTTTTATTTGACAGGCAGGCAACTGAGAATGGGAATTATTGGGTCTTATTCTGAGTGGCAGGCAGTGACTACTAGGGTATAGCAAGAATCAGTGCTTGGGCCCCAGCTATTCACAATATATACACATAATCTGGATGAGGGAACCAGATGCAAAATTTGCGAATTTGCTGATGTCACAAAACTGGGCGGAATGCAAGATGTGAGGAGGCGATTTAGACATGTGGAGTGAGTGGGCAAATACAGTGCAATATGGTTAAATGCCACCACATATACACTTTGGTGTAAAAACAGAAAGGCAGAGTATCATTTAAATGGTCTAAAAAAGATCTGAATTTTTCGCACACCAGTCAATGAATACATCAATTCCCTGATTGGGCAGACTAGAATCGGGGTCACAGTCTCAGATATATGGGGTCAGCCATTTAGAACTGAGAGGAGGAAGCATTTCTGCACTTAAACAGCAGTGAGCCTCTGGAACTGCCTATCACAGAAGGCTGTGAAGGCCAAGTCACTGAATGTATTCAAGAAAGGGTAGGTAAATTTTTAGATTTTAAAAGTGTCAAAGGGTATGGTGAGAAAGTGTGAATACATCATTGAGACAGAGGATCAGCTACGAACATACTGAATGGCAGAGTGGACTTGAACAGCTAAATGGTCTATTCCAGCTCCTAGTTTCCATGATTCCTCCATTTTGTCTGTGCAAACAGTGATGCTTTCATTAACAGCTTTTCCTTCTGCAAACCGATTGTCACCTCATTATCTACTGCTATTTCCTTTAAATGCAATAACATCAGCATACATAGATATTTTCTTTATTTTAATGTGTCAGTGGCATAAATAAACTTTTAGCCACCTACACTCGGAATATGCAAGGTAGTATCTGCTTGTCAGCTGATAATGGCACAGTGATGTCGTAATTTCAGTTTAACTACTTGTTTCCACACATTGGCCTACACTGAGGGCTGTTTTGTATGGGTCATTTTCTCTGAGAATCTCATGCAATCAATGCTTAATCCTCTGGGCTCTGTTGTTGGCCATTCAAGGGCAAGCTTGTCTAATGGGCAGTTAGCCACTTCAATCAATGGTTTGTGTGTCCCCTCCTGCACTTTCCCTAATTGCCTTTAACTGAGTGACTTGCTAGTTTATTTCAGAGGCAGTTAAAAGTCAGCCAACATCGCTCTGACTCTTCTCTCACAAATAGGTCAGACCAAGTTAAGGTCATTGGTGAACGAGATGGAATTTGTGATGGGATCTGAACTCTTGTTTCTAGATTATGGGTTTATACAGCTGGATTTCTAACTCAGCAACACAATCACCCTTTTGTTTCTGCTCCCTTATGAGTGATGCCCTTCCACACCATTAGGTATTCAGTCTTAATATGAGCAAAAGAGAATAACAATGGGGTAACAAGGTGTAGAGCTGGATGAACACAGCAGGCCAAGCAGCATCAGAGGAGCAGGAAAGCTGCCGTTTCAGACCTAGACCTATCTCAGAGAATAACAATGGCACTGATTTATGTTCTTATCTGAATGAACAGAGGAGGTACAAAGATGGTCAAAAAAAGGTTGTTTAGTTATAGCAGTACAGTATTTACAAAAGTAAAACAATAATTCCACCAAACTGGCTCATAATGAGAAATTTCCATCCTCCATTTTGTTACAAAGGGATTAATGAAATAGGACAGGAATTTTCTGTAGAGTACTTTCAGCATTCACTTGACTTGCAAGATGGCTTTACTATGGCTGAAAACTTTTACATTGCAAACTGTGTACCCTTTCATCAGTAAGCCATTACACGATTGACAGTCTTGTAGTTCATGTTGTTCACCACCCTGCAGAGAAAATGAATTAGAAATCTTTGTACTGTAAAGGCTCATACAAATTATATTTCTAGATAACATTTTTTTAAACCTGAGTCCTGAGAAAATAGCCATCTCGTTCTGATGGAACCACTTTGATTAGATTTAACCTTAAGTTTGGTAATCCCCAATTGAACCTAATCACCAAACATTATGCTTTATCCTGTACACTTCTTCCCAAGCCATTTTGGAAGATGCAAAAGAACAGCCGTTCTCTCCTATACATTTTCAACCTGTGCATATGTGTACTTCTCTGTCTGTAGTTCATTGAGGTTTATAGCAGAGACAGGTCATTTGACCCACCAGTTGGTTTTCTGCATGAATGGATTGTTCACGCAAACACGTGAATAAGGACCACTAGTGAGACACAGCATCTCAAACCCACTCTGCCACTCAGTAAGATCTGATAGCTCCACATTCCTGCTCTTTCCAAGACCTTTCTTGGGGATAGACACTCTCTTCTTTATCAAGAATCTATCTAACTTTCCCTTCAAAAGATACAATGACTTTGTTTTCACTGGCATGTAAGGAAGAAAGTTCCAAAGATTTATGACTTTCTATGAGGAATAAAATCTCCTTAATTCTGACTTCAGTAAGTGGCCCCTAATTTTGAAACAGCTGGATAGGTTCCAGCCAAAGTTCTAATACTTACAGCAAGGTAAAATTCACTCAAAGCAATGTTTTTATTAAAATATAAAGATTTTCAAGTGGAGAAATAGTGCAATGACCTCTAAAAAATAGAAAATGCACAACACTGATCCTCAATCTAAGGTGAAGTTGGTGAAGATTTTCTGGAATAGAGGTGGAGGGAGTGAGCGAGGTGGATATTGAACCTAATGTAGCAGTAGGTAAAAAGGGTGTTATTTCTGATTGATTCACCTTTCATGTTTGAATTTTGTCAAGCTCCCAGTCAAGAGCAATAGCAGTGTCAATCACTCTGCCAAGACAATATTTCTTTCCATGTTTTTGTCATTGTCAGTCACCCTTATTATCAATTTAATGGGTCTCCCATCAGCTTTGGTGTAAATGGAGCTTCTTTAGTTCTCTCCCTCTTCCTCCTCTTTATACCATCAGTTTAATGAATTCCTCTATACAGAGTTCTGTCTACTGAGACTGAAGCAATTCCTGGGATAATATGGTTAGGTCCTCAAATTCCTCCCCTCTAACCTGATTTTCCAGCTCAACAACCATGAGTACCTCAGCCTCACCATTGGGAACCCTGAGAAATCATTCACAGCCTTGGGCCAAACTGTGTGCCAAAAGGCACTGATAGTTAAATCTCACACTCTGTGTGAAACCTCAATAATGCCTCTCAATGTAAGGATGACGAAATCCTTCCAACAATCACAGACAGTGATTGGAAGATTTATTTTCTTGAGGTTGGGAATGTGGCTGAAATATCTACAGGTGTCAAAAGCTTTGAAGGTTACAATGACCTGTTGGGTCCATTGGCTGTATAAGTGAGGTCATATTTCGGTGTAAAGAGAAAACTTCAACTCTGGAGGCTATCTGTGAGGGGTGGTGGGGGGGGGGGGGGGGGGTTGGGTGTTGAGACCACAGATAAGAAAATAACCAGATCAGAAGCAGCGATGGTCTGAATTTCGTGGAATCCAACAATATATCTCCCTCCGGTCTGAAAAATAACAATTCAGCACCACTTTCTGTTTCCTGTCACCTTTGTTTCTATGCTGTCACTGTATTTTATTTCATGGTCTATAACTTTATGACACTTTATCAAACTCCTTTTTGACATCATTAACATCACATCAACATGATTACTCTCAAGAATCTTCCCTATTTCTTTGTCAAGACACTCAATCATGTCAGTCAAACAAAAATAAAAACAGGAAAAGCTGGAAATAGAAATGGGGGCATTGCTGGACAGTGAAGCATAGTTAAGGGGCTGTAGCCAATACACCTTCATTTGTTTCCTGGACACAAAATAGGATCAAATCCCCATCAGGCAGGTAGCTGTCTTGGTTTACAAGGCCTTCCATGTGAATATCCTTATTGCTTGGCAGCTCTTCAGTCTCTGAGGAGCCAGAGGGTGCAGTGTTGATTGTTGGGATTGCAGTTGGCCCAGGATGAAGAGTAGCCATGAAGGCTTCAGAGTGCAGCTAAGTTGGATGCCTTCTCAGGGGGCAGTCAGGTAGAGCCCAGCAAGAGGCGGTTGTTTTATAGAGCAAGAGGGTGGGGGTCGGGGATCATCCTAGCTGCTGGCAGAGCCCACCACAGGTGTGTGCCCAAGCAGGAGCTCAACTCCAGGCTACAGTAAGGCCGCTACGAGAGGCCGGACAGCCTGCCCCATGGTGTGACCCAACCCTACTGCTGGTACACTACCATAAGTGGCCACTTACAGGCCCCAAATGGTCCAGGGCAACACCAGATTTGATTAGGTAAACCAGAACAGTTCTTGAATCCGTACTTTTCTGTCCCATTAAATGCCTGCCTCCCAGTCTGTTCCTGTGCAGGGAGCACGGGCATTAAATTCCCTTCACAGTTCAAGGTTTGTGACCTTTATAGATCTGAAAATTTTGGTGAAAGTTTTTGGACCTGCCTGGAGCTTTTAGAAAAATGACCAGGGAGCTTAATTGTGTGAGAGGTAAAACTTCAATTTTCAGACAGAGAGTTAAATTAAGATCTCTGAATCTTTTAGGTGCGTCTGGTTTCCTGACACATTTTGTGTTCATTAGCATGTCATAAACACTCATTAATAGCTAACAGAATTATGTTCATGGGTGCAATCCTGTTAGCTAAAACTGGGAAACGTGTGTGCTTACAGACACTATGATATACATGAGGCATGAACCATAAACTTTCCCCTCCATTCCGGTGAGTACAAACATCTTTAAGTTACTTGGCTTCTTTATAGCCATTTCGTCTCTTTGCTTATGCATGAACAGTGGGAAGGCTGATCGCTCTCCATGCTGATCAGCCAGTGAGCAGTCTCAGTCATATGCAATCTGGCTCGTTGTTGCAAAACACTGGCAATGTTAGGGGTGAGGCCTGACTGGACTGCTAGAGCAAGGCAGCCACTCTGACTGATGCTAGACAACCTGAGTGCAGGGCAAGCAATCAAGGCTCAATTCAAAATTCCACTCAGGTAGCCTTCTATTTTGGTTGCTTCTTTGTTCCATTCAAGCCTTTGGTATCAAAGTTTTGGTGAAGAGCTAACAGATCCTAGGTCAGTAACTTGAAGATGAGTACACTGCTGAGTGTTGTACCTCCTTTTATGTTTACAGTGTGAGCCCTGGCAGGTGTATGGTGCCAGTAGTGGTGGCTGCAATGAAGTGACAGATATTGATTGCACATGAGGCATCCAATGAGAGATGCCACGCACTGGACCTCTTGTGTGATGGTCCTCTGCAGTGCCAACCTGCAATACTGGCCCATATTCTTAGGGGGAGGGGATCATTTAACCTCTTCTGACCTGGATTCACATTGTCTTGAGACACTCATGGTGCTGACTTCCATAATCACCTCTGTCTAGGATGTCTCCATCAGTCAGCTTGGCCTCTTGCTACCATCGCAAGGGAAACACAATCCCCATTGCTCTTGGATGGTTTACAGAAGGCTTCACTGAAGAGTGGTGCTGTTCATCACCAGGTCTCTGAAATCTCCAGGTCTTCACTCTCCCTTCCCCTTCAATTATCTCCCCACAAATTCACTCCTCCCATCTCTGATACCCTCACTCTCCCTTCCCCTTCAATTATCTCCCCACAAATTTGCTCCTCCCTTCTCCGATACCCTCACTCTCCCTACCCTTTCAGTTATCTCCCCACAA